GCTGAACCAAATTGCTTTTAATCTAATTTATCAATGCTGTCAAACATTATGTTACCTTGCATTAACCTGTTTAACAAGTACTCCAAATGTAAGGTTTATCATTTAATTCTACCCAAGATTAATTTCTGTTAGTTTCCTTCTTCTGTTCACACCATACATGGTTGAATTAATATAATTTACCCATTATTCCAATATTGGGGGTACTGAATAAATTCTGAGGGCTTAGATCATATAGCTGTAAAGCATAGGCATCAAATTTGTAAATTTACATTTACAGCTGTAAAGCATAGGCAGATCTGAGTTGCAAAATCTGAACCAATATCAGCTTCTCCGCACCCCCACCTCACTGCTCTTTGCTCCCTTCTCCAGATCGGAGAGTTGTACATTTGCGTTTGACTAAACAAATCCTCTCTAAACAGTAACAGAGTTGGAAGGGACCTTGGAGGTCATTCAGTCCAATCCCCTGCCCACTCAGGAGACCTGTACTAGGGAGTCGAACTGCCGACATTTCTGATCGACAAGCTCAGTGTCTTAGCCACTGAGCCACCTAGTCAAAAATTGCAGATCCAAGCATCATACATCAACCACTCCAGTTTCCAGGCGTACACTGTAAAATCCCAGCGAGCCTTAGAGGATAATAAAGAATTAAAGTTCCCGGGCTGCAGCGAGCATCCCGAATGCTCGCATCCAGAGCTGGAAGTCTTATACGAGAAGACGCCTCCAAGAATCACTTCGGGTGGAGCTGATTGGTCGGACCGATCACGGAAGGACCGCTCGGATTAAGAAGCGATTGGCAGGCGAGCATGCGAGCAGGCGGGGTTTGTTTCCCGGGTGACGCGGGCGGCCTTGAGGCTTGCCAAAGCGTTGTGCTGGCAACTACTTGGAAGCGGGCAGCTGCAATTGAGAGGTGTCATGGCGGCCGCCGACGAAGGGGACGCGACCGGGGAAGCGGCGGTGGTGGAGCGCGGGCCGGGAGCGCTTTATCACATGTTTGTCATGATGGAGGATCTGCTGGAGAAGTTGAAGCTACTCAACTGCGAGGAAGACGCCGCGTTGCGGAGCCATAACATGAGGCCGCCTTCCCGGTAAGGCAAGCAAGCAGGCCTTGCTTGTTGGTTTTCTGGGTGTTTGTTTTGTGAGTGGAAGTTAGAGTGCCATAGAAAATACCACCGCCCCCCACCGCCCCCTTTCTAGTCGGTTGAATACCTTGTCTGATCCCAGTCAGTAATTATTTCAAGGGTTTTGTGGCTTTAAAAAAAAACTAGTTTTCATGTGTGTATGTAATTGAATGAGTGTGTATTGGGCTTTTCGCGTGTAAAGCTGGGGCTGGAATTGTGCGTGAACGACGACCCCCCCCCCCCAAGATATCAGACATATTGAAGTTGTTTTCGAGAAAGGCTCCTTGGAAATGGGGAGTGTTTTGTGTTGCAGTTCAGTGTGTGATAAACTTTCCACTGAGACTTTTTATTCAATGTGATCAGGTGCTGAGTTAAAACCAGGCGCTTTCCTGTTTATATAGGCCTATTTCTGTATAGTTAAAAAAATAGGAAACATTCTATCTATCTATCTATCTATCTATCTATCTATCTATCTATCTATCTATCTATCTATCTATCTATGTATCATCTATCTATCCTGTGCTGTTTCAGAATAAGCAGTGTTATGAAAAGAAAGACAAAGTCAAAAAAAGATAAAGATTCCATAAGAAAAGGAAACTTAAAAACTACTTTGCACAAATGTTAATGTGCTATATCTCTATTAACTTGAGAGTTAATTTTGTGAAACCACTTAGAAGTTATGACTGCTTAAGAAACATGCATGAAATTGTGCTGGAATAGTTGGTGATTTCTTCTTTGTTGTAGGGTATTTGTAATCTTTGAAAAATATAATATCAGATATATAACAAGCATTGTTCATTGCAAAGAAACTTTCCCTAGAGATTCCTCTTTACAAATTCTAATTGTTCTTAGGGGTAGAAGTTTTACTTCCAGACTCATTCTTAAAAGGGAAAGTAATTATAAAGTAATGCAGGTGAGAATAAATGAGAAAATTTTAGGAATGTTTTTAGTATGGAACTGGTGATAGAAGTGTATGCAGTCTTTTCTAATACGCATCCGTGTTAAGGCCACAGGATAGGCATGCGTAAGGCAAATTTCTTACCTTGAAGAATACCATTCGTGTTATTTTGAAAAGTCATGATTACTTTAGTAAGATGAATATATTTGTGTCTCGACCTGCATTTTGTTCTCTAGTCCAATTCCTTTTACAACATAGGAATTGAAATTAAAACATTTCCAACAGATGACTGTCCAGATTCTTTGTATCTAGTGAAACAAAGCTTGTCATTTTCCTGAGTAATTAGTTCTACTGTCAAAGTATTAGGACATTTTTCCTAACTTTCAATTGTAAATAGCCTTCAATCAGAGTATGTATTTTGTCACTCTGATTTCTTTCAGCAACATAGAAAGCTGACAAAACAGTGTTTTTAAATCTCCAGTTTTAATTGATTATTTTTAATAAATTACAATTTTAAAATAATTTTCTACATTCTTACTATATAGTACACACACTCACACAATTTTGTTACAGATTTAATACACGAAGATAGAATATATAAAGATAGATTAATAGGTTGAAGGTTGAAAGGTTGAAAAAACCAAAATCAAGTAATACAGACCTAATAAAAAGTATTATGACATAGAATACACATTATAAAAATCATTTCCCAATTCCTTTTTTTAGGTATTAATAGACTTAATGTGAAATTGCAGAATAGTGTAATGTCAAGGTATTTAAAAAGGTGAAATAACCCCAATTGGGAGCTTTTTAATATTTCCTATATAATCTATTGTAAGAATTTCTTGGTCAGAAATATAATGTAGATAATAGATATTTTTGAACTGTGCTCAAAGAAGCTTCTTCTGAAGAAATCCAAATCAATCTGAGAACTCAGAATAGAAAATACTAAGTTTAAAAACAAATCTAAACTCCTATGTTCAGATCCAATTATCCCCTAATATTAAGCCTCTAATATTAAAGCAATCAGCAAACCAAGCAGACAGATGAAATAGAGATGATCTTAGGATAACTGTTAACCTGCTGTTTGGATATCACAAAAGATCTTGTTAAAAACTGATTTAAATAAATAAGTATTTGCTGATCATGAAGATATATGGAATTGAAAATAAGTTTTCTATTATAGCTAGAGTTGTACGTGATTATAATATACCTTATACCTTCATGTTATGTTGCATATTATAAGTTATAATGTATATTATAACTTCTTCAATATTACTAAATAACATTAAAATTGTTATACATATTTTCTCGGGTCTTCTAACAGTTCATATATATGTCAGAAATCATTAACTTTTTTCATCTTACAGAGCCATTTATGTTTCTGTAGTATACTAGATGCTTTCATAGAAGATCAGATAATATATTTTATACTCTACTGAATAACTTCATACATTTTGAACATAGCTATTTAGTTATTATACAGTATGGCAGTACAAAAATATGGTAAATAAGTATCAGAACTACTTTTAAAAACTTTTACTTACATCATTTTTCTGGAATGTATATATACAGTTGTGACATAACATTCTAAAAGCACTTAAGGAAAATAGCACATATATTAAGAAAATTACCTCTTAGTGAAATATAGTATCTTAGCGGAAAAAAGATTGTGGGTTTAGATGATTGTACAAATGGAGAAATTTTCTAGTTTTTAGAACTTTTTTTTTCAATGTAGGCATACTAATTTCTGCTCCTTTTTCTTTTAAAACAGGCATTATTTTGCATTGCCTATTAACCCAGGCGAACAGTTCTACATGTTTTGTACTCTTGCTGCTTGGCTAATTAATAAGGCAGGGCATCCTTTTGAACAACCACAGGAATATGATGATCCAAATGCATCAATATCTAACATACTAGCAGAGCTGCGGTCCTTTGTAAGTAAATTATTTACCATCTCTGAATTGCTTTGATCATTTCTTATAAATTTGTAGACTACAAAATAAGTTTTTTACTTTTTGGAAAAAATATATTGACAAGAAAAAATGGATGACTGTGTACTAATAGTGGTGAAACATAAGACAGTATTATAGCTGAGCAGCTAACTGACCTTGAAAGCTAAAAAGATTGGACCTTAATATTGGAATGGGAGACTACTAAAGAAATGAGAGGTAGGGTGAACTGGAAAATAAATAAATACATTAAAAATCAGTGACCTATAAAACTATATGGAGGTTGATGAAATCACCAGGATACAAGTTTGATTGGATGATTAAAGAAGCCAAAGAATACTAAAAAGATGTCAGTATATGTTCCATTGATTAGAGAAAGAGCTTTGATTGTATCAATCGTGTCAAGCGGTAGAGTGTTCTTAGAAAAATTCTAAGTATATAATTCTATTCTGAAA